TTGCTGCTTCGCCGTGGTCCTCAGCAGCACCTCGTGGGAGTGGCTGTGCCCGCAGTGGAAATCGTTGATGTCAACTGGGGTGCTGGACGCTTTCGCGTCGCCAGGAGCAATTGCGGCACAGGCATGTTCGGTGTGTGTGCGGAAACCGTTTTGGACGTACAGGTTACCGCATCGGGGGAAGTACACCACCTCCCCCCCCCCTCTCTCCAACTCCAACTCGTGTTTGTTGAGGGTTTTGGTTTCGAACCCGTCGTCGAAGAGGGAAGTGAGAGATACTAGGTTGTAGTCTAGTCGGGGGACGTGTGCAACCCGTTTCAACAACAGGTCGGTTGTACCGTCGCGCGAGCTAAGGGTGACCGTCACGTCGCCATACCCTACGATATGGAAGGTTTCTCCGGCGGCGACGCGCACACGTCGATCACACTCTTCGTAACGAACGAACCCATCTGAGTTCGCGAACATGTGGGTGGTAGCGCCGGTATCGACAACATACCTACCCCGCCTAGCCTGCTCTACACCCCCTCGACCAACGACTTTGTGACACTCGCCTGAGATGTCACCGACCACCAGCGCTTCTTCTGCCACGTCCAGTGCTGTGGCGTCCGCAGACGCCCTCCCCGCCTGCACTTCCACCACGAGCACCGCCTCTTCGGTCGGGCACTTGCTCACGATGTCTCACATCGCACGGGGTTGANTGAGATGTCACCGACCACCAGCGCTTCTTCTGCCACGTCCAGTGCTGTGGAGTCCGCAAACGCTCCCCCCGCCTGCACTTCCACCACGAGCACCGCCTCTTCGGTCGGGCACTTGCTCACGATGTCTCACATCGCACGGGGTTGATCTCGGGGCAGTTGGCCACCTGGTGGCCCTCCTTGCCGCACCGGAAACAGCGACCGCGCATGCTACCCGCATCGTCGTCGCCGCCTCCGCCGCCGCCACCAGCCTTCGCGCCACCCCCTCTCCCCTTCTGGTTGCCGCCGCCGCCGCGGCGACCCTTGCGGCGGTCGCTGTTGCCTTGGCCCGGCGCTCCTCCCCCGCCGCCACCGTCACTCGCGAGGAGAGCATGCTCCGCCCTACGCTGGCCCTTCGAGGCCTTCCTTCCCTCCGGGAGGCTCGCGTGCACCGTGCTCACGATCCTGACGTTCTCGGCCCTATCCAGCGCCGTTGCTGTCTCCAACAGGAACTTCGCTTGTTGGTACTCGGGTGGGAGGGAACCAACGAAGTGGGCGAGAACGAAGGGTTGTTCAGCATTGAGCCCCTTTTCGCGCAGGCGGGCATACAGCAGCTCGAGAGAGTAGAGGTGCTCGATGGGGTTGCTGTTGCTGTGTGTGGGGATTGCAAAGTCGAACATCTTCCGCATCAAGGCCTGTTTTGACCCCTGTGACTCCGGATCGTAGACCTTTTCCAATTCCGCAAGGACCTCTTTCGCTGACGTACAGTTGCTGATAATTGCTTTGTCAGCTTCTTTTACCACAGCAGTAGTGATAAAGTGGAACGCCTGAAGCCCCCGTTGGACTTCTGCTCTCGTGTACCCCCTACGGAGCAGTTCGGAAGTCGGCAAGTTTGGGTCGCCCACGGGGATACTGCTCTCTGCATCTCCTATAAACAGCCCGTCCAAGTCGATGGTCTTCGCAGCTTGGATGAATGATTTTCGCCACGAGTCAAATCCGTGGCTACGGCTTTTTCCGTCTAGGAGCGGAGCATTGACCGTTACCCTCTTCATGTGGCTACTGCTGTAGCCGTCGAGGTATTCTCCATTTCCTCGAATCACGGGTATCTCACCTGAGGGGTTTAACCCCCTCGCTTCCCCGTAGTCCGGTCCTATGCCCGGGCCCACTCCGGCTGGTCCAACAGGGTTCGCTCCCGATCTGCTGGCCCAGCCGCCTTCCAGCAGCGACCGTGGTCCTTGCCCACTATCTCTCGTTTGCTGCTGGAGAAATCCCCCGCCACCGCCGAGCGGCAGCGTGGGCTCTTCTCGTTGGCCTCTGGGGGCAGCAACCCAGCCACCCCTACTGGCTGCATCCGCCACGACGCTGCCAGGCTCCTTCTTCAGTGACTCCTCCACCAGGGCCGCCGCCAATTGCGAAATCTGCCGTTGCAAACTTGCAAGCTCCGCGTCGCGGCCCTCCTGCACTGGCGGGCGGATCTGTTCTCCGCTCGCAGCAGCGCGCTCTTCGTCTCCAGCAGAGCTCATCCCGATGTGGCTTCCCTCGAGGGGCAAACTCTAGTCTAGAGTGTTTGCAGCCTACGCCACTTATTTATCGGGTGAGACTGTATTGGTGATGTATTAACTTCACGAGAGGTCGACGACCGTCCTTCACACAGACGAAAGAGGGAGTGCTCAAAGAGCGGCTCCCACAGCAAGGAGGGGCCCCGTGAATCATCGTGGTGCCCCCTACCAAACGGTAATCTTACCAGTCTGCGTGATACCAAGTCATCCAGCACACGTATCCAACACCAATGTTCGCAGACCCCCGAACAACAAACTCGGCTGGGACGCCAGCCGTCATAGACTTTGTATGTGTACAGAAAAAAAATCTCCTATCGCTCGCCACAAGAAGATTCTACGCAAATTAGTCTCTTCCGAAATTATAGTTCATATTCGGGGCAGACTCCGAACCCCACACACACGTGCAAAACGTGCAAGTCTCCCTACTCGATGCACGGCCTAGCGTGGGTTCCGGACCCAGTGGCGAGGTCTATTTTGTTCGATATACTCGTAGCATAGTAAAAATGGTTGAATTTGGGACATGGATCTACGGAGAGTGCAATTGGTAGATTGCGGAGGAACAGGGAGTTTCTGCTTGGTTTCTTCGGAGATTCGATGAATGATCTCAATTGCGTGACGGATGGATGAGTGTTCGGCTTTTCTCTTCGGGTCCTCGGACACAAGTGTTCTCTGCTGTCCCTTCTCCCCTCTAAGGGTGGGTCCTACGTAATTTTTTTGGACTCGAACATCGAACATCGAACAAGCGGTGTAATCATGTGATTGGCCAGGAAGGTCCAACAGCCCAAAGAGATGTTCGGGTTTTCGAGTTTTTGTACGCCGGATCTTTCAGGGGCGATTCCGCCTAAAACTCTAACATCTTTCCACAAAAACTCGAAAACCTATACCTAACCTACAGTCCCGTGGACTATTGGGACCGAATTGGCGAAAAAAAAGAAAACCCGCACGCATGCATCACGCACGTGCACCCAACACACACCACCAAAAAACACAATCTCGGGGAGAGGGAGAACGACAGAGAGGTTTGCAGGACAGCAACAGCAATACCCATGTCTGCACAGAGCGACGACGAGTTTGCGCTGGATCCCAGGGCCCCGCGTGCACAAACGGGGCCAGGTGTGAGGTTAATCACACGTGGGGTTCCTTCCCGTCGCAACCATACAGCATTGCTGGACAGCCAAACAGCTGCAGCAGTGTTGGTGTGAGTCGGCAGGGTCCCGCGGCAATGCATGTGGGCATCAGGCCGCAAGGGATGCCGGGGTTCCACCCCGCGGCTTCGAGCGCTAGCTACTATCAACCGGTGCTGTTTTTGCTGGTGGGGCTGCTTCTTGTGCTCCTCCTCCTGGCGCCGTCCCTGTTCCTCGACACTCGTATCTTTTCGAGAGTCGAGTGCCCTTGGGTTTTATTCCGGGCGTGGTCCAACAACGCGGGCTGTTGAACGCAAAAACGTGTGTGTGTGGGATTTTTTTTCACGCTTTTTTGCAAATTTCAATGGACCCAAAAGGTCGAACTTCGAACTATCCGCTTGTTCGATGTTCGATCTTCGACTTTTCCAAAAATTACGTACGTAGGACCCACCCTAATGCAAGCCAGTTTTGCGAACTCGGGGGCACGCGAGTTGGGAGATGTGCAGCAAGTCAGACGCCCAGGAGAGGCACCACAAAGCATATCACGCATACCACCTCAGCCAAGCATGCTAGGCCAAGGGTTCCCACGTACGTTGCATACAGCGGAGCCTGGGTTGACTACAGCAGTGCGGTATAAATAGGCCTTTGAGTGCTGTGTCCCAGTGTCCCTAAATCGTTCCCATAAAAGGCTTCCAGTACACTACGAGGGCAAAGATCAACCACTGTCAACCCCGCATGTACTGCCTGCCTTTCAACTTGATCGTCCGGTACAGCCTGGGATTTGGAGAGTATCGGCTCAAGTGTACTACTATTTTACGTGCCGTTGAATGTCACATACGTCGAACGTACAGCAGTTTGCCGCTGTTCTCATCAACGAAAAATTACGCCGAACCAGATTTCTACCCTTGAAAGAGTCAGCCAAGTATGCCCTTCAAAGAGCCAGCCAAGTATGCACATGAAGGAGCGCACACTCAGCCACATTCGTCTGAGCTACTCCCCCACCTCTCCTGGTTTCCGGAGCTAGCCGGCAGTTCGGATCCAGCCGTTGTGCGATACGTAATCATCTCCGGTAGGATTTAATGAGGACGGATTCTAAAGTTTTTGAGAAGCACTGCCCCTGTTCGCTCCTCCTTCCTAATGCTGGGACTTGGGCCCTCCAAAACTCCGACAGGTACGAACAAACTCCTTCTCAGAGGGGATCCAGAGTCGACCTGTTGTCACGGCAGGCTCATCATGTTGATCTCCTCCCGAGATGACATAGCTGCCTGTCCATGAGGCGTCAGGCGCATTCCCGAACGACGTCCGCAGCATGGCAAAATTATACACTTGAGGGGTAGGTAACACAACAACACCAAACACAGCGTAAGAAGCACACCACGCACACCTCCCCTCTTGCGTGTCCCGCGAAGGGGTGAAGGCCCGCCGGGATCAATCAATCAATCAATCAATCAAGAAAACTCCACGGCAGTATACTTCTTCGGTGATCTGGTGCCATAGTCGGACTCGCGGGCGCACGGGTTGGCAAAGTACGCGTAGTCTAGATTGATCCAGAATGCATTTTTTCGCATTTGTTGATGTACAACATTCACGGGCACTGCCCTTTGTTGTTGTATCATAGAGTAGTAGAGTACAGGGGTGCGAACTCCCATCCATGAACACCTACTATGCATGTGGTGCAGATACCCTGACATGTTTCAGTCCGTGTCTCACCGCTCAGGGGAATGGAGCACTACCAACAGGTCAGCGGACAGGGGGCAGGGAGGGAGGTCCAAGTTATGTCCGCATTCCAACAACAGTGAGCTCTCTTTGAGGTCCACATCACCTCAAGCGGACGGGGTATTTGGGCGTGTTGCGATGCGAATTTTGATACGGGAGTGACGTTGTCACTTATGATGCCACTGCCGTGGGTCCTCACCGCCTCTCTCTCAATTGACCTCGCTCGGCGGACCCACGAGTTTTGGTGATCTCCGCGCTTCAGACGGTCAGTCCACTCGCGAGTGGTATCGCGTCGGCTATCTGCTATATACTATGCACACCACGTATCACAACTACTTCGTATTATTTTGTTCTGTTCCCTGGCGTAGCTGCGTTCTGTTCCCATTAATAAGCCGCGAGGTACGCGCAGGTTGCGTATTCGAGCCAAGATTCTCTCCACTGACTCTCACCGCTGTCTCGCTCCACCCTCTTCTGCAAAGACAAATATCTTCGAGAACCTTGTCAACCCCCACAAACACTCCAGTCCCCCCGTTCATGATGTGTGCGTATAGCGGGCGAATTGGTGGTCTCCATGTCGGAATATTATGTAGGTGACACACGATACCACGACCCGTGGACCGATTTTCACAGCGCGATCATTCCAATTCCACGGAAGACGACGCATTTTAAACCAGTATTTTTTGCAATTTATTCATGAATGAAATGATGCGCGTTCCTTCCGATGGATTCTGTTCCTCCCTCCTCCTCTATTTCTACCCGTACTACTAGCATTTGTGTGCACATCTGTATGTCCACTTATGTCGGTCGATATTCGGGCCCTTGCCTACATGCAGTAGACCTTGTGCCACACAAAATATACACCCTAAATTTCCACACAACTTCGGTCCTGCAAGTAGTGTGCGGCAGTGGACGTAACACCCGTTCATGGCTCCCGCACCCTGCACTCTATCGCCCGGCCTATGCAAAACAGTACAACCCTGCAAAGAATTCAACGCCCGGTTATACAAATGGTATCTGCGGGGTGTGTCATCTCGTGTTTCACTTCGAAGTAGATTGCTGCGCGGTACCATCCTTGTGCGGATACATAATAGCAGAATTCAATGCGGCCTGCTGCCTAGACCTCTGTTACCTATGTAGTTCCATGCCGTGTTCATCCAAGCGGCCGGCCATTTATTATACTCCGCCAGTATGTGTATTAAATCAACAAACAGGGCATGAAGTGAGAGAGATAACATGTGCCTGGGAGGGGG